ACATGAGTTGAGCAAAACCTGTTTTGACTGTTCAGTCCTTGTTACTATGTCGTACACTCCTTTAGAATTGATCACCAGTGAACTTTATATTAAAAAGACCAAATATGAAGCACTGCTACTTCTAGTAGGTTTATTAACATTACATTGTGGCTTTTAATATAAACTTTAAGAAGTTCTAATACAAGCAATAAACCCACTTCAGCACCTTCTTACCACAATGAGAGCAAGAGAAAATTGGTACTTTAAACAAGGAACTTTATAAAGTGCATATGAAAATTACAGTCAAATAAACACAATTTAAATTGATGCTTGTTCTACCAACAAAGAAAGAGGTGAACATTTTAATGAACAAATTAACTTTTATGCCAAAATCGGAAGTGCCTTTCAGTTCAGTAGTTTGGTCCAGTGCAGTTCTTTTAAAAAAAAAAAAAAACAAACAAAAAAACCCAAAACAAAACCAAAATAGTGTTTCCCACAAATAAATAAATCCAGCATTCTTTGTCCTCTTTAAAAGTAACAGGACCTAAAAAGCACCAAATTCATAAAATCTGCAATAACATTCTTCAAATAGGCCCACAAGTCCATACATTTAAATCTAGTTAAACGCAAAAAAATCCCCAAACCCAAAAAACCCACCTTGTTACATATTCACATCAACTGCAGCACAAAAAATAATTATTGAAATAATAAGAGAAGAAAACTGAAGTTTGCTTTCTAGCAATAACTAGTGCATTGAATTCTGAATGTTCTGTTCTTCAGTGCAAACGTAACATGACGTCTCCCTTCCATCTCTGATTTAGAAGTGTGAAGGATGCCCGTACTGGTTCACTCCTTGTTGTGGCTGGTTACCTGGTTGGTAAAGCAAAGGGAAGTGTTTGTGCCTGTACTCTACAGAAATACAGAAAAATACCTGTATTTCATGCTGCAGTAGCAAACAACAGTCAGTACATTCCCTTACATACCTATCTAATGCACGCAAGAGGTGCTCATTTGCCTGTGGTAGGACTAGAGAAGTGAGGGGAGAAAACAGGCAGCAAATTACAGCGAGGCCCAGTGACTCGGGCTTCTCGAGGCCAACAGAAATCCGTGGGATGCACTAGCACCAGAATTCTGGTATTACATCGCTACTGGGATGGGTAACCAGCAGCCAATAGGTAAATTACTTACATGTATATATAGCAGCATTTAAATAGGCAGAACACCTCCAGAAAGGTAATTCCATATTCAAATATACGTATGTATTTATGTACATCTGTGCATACACACACTTACTAGAGAGCTGCTTCTGGAGCTGCCTGACCAGCGCCGCTGTCTGTTGTTGCTGCTGTGTCTGTTGTAAGCCCTGCCTTGGAAACTGCAAAAGAAACATGAAAAATGAAAGACACACGCACAGCGCAAGGGCCACGTCAGGTAACTGCAGAAGCGTTCAGCTTGTGCTGCGCCATCACTGCTGACAGAGCAGGGGGAGTGGACAGCAGAAGGCAGGCAGGCAGGCGTGCCCCCACAGCAGATCCTGACCGGACTTTAACAGCACAGTAAGGACACATGGAGCACCCGTAGAACTTACAGAACACTTGTTCTCTTCATTCCCTGAAATCTCACCCATTTCCAGTTGTGTTACAGGCATCACGTGTGTCCAGCCAGACACAAGGGACAGAGTCAGCCTCTGTCTTTTCCACCTCTGGAGAGGTCAGGATTCATCCTGCAAGTCACTGTAAGCAGCTTTACTGTCTGCATTGTTCAAAGACAAGGCAAATAAAAACTGCAAATCAAAATTAACAGCCTTTTTAGCATTTTAAAACACTTAGGTGTGGTTGAAGCATAATACTCGAAGCTTCTCAAAAAATACTTTCCCCAGGGCAATGGCACATCAGATCAAAAGGATGAGCACAAAGCAGATGGTGTTCATTGCGCTGCACACCACTGCAGGGTTGTAGCTGCACACTCAATTCTTAGCGCCAGTGGGACAGGAGACGGATCAGTGCCCAGCCAACTGGGCCAACTCCTCCACCGAGCAAAACAGTCATCGTTCTGATCCTTACCCTAAGCCCACAGGGATCGAGACAAGGCCCTTCCAGTCCATGGCATTAAGCACAACGGGATTAGACACAAAAAGCTTCCATAGAAATCTGCTGTTAATGAATTAAATCATCACTTCAATCACTTTGAAAGTACCCTGGGTGTAAATGCATTGACTTTCACACATTTGCACCCTATTTCTACTTGCACCAAAGCAGAATTTAGTCTTTAATTGGTCTCTCTGACAGTATGCATTACTCCCTACCTATCTGACCCGTGAAGTCTATTTTTCAAGTAAGGATGGGTAGGAGAACAAGCACAGCTTTGCTCTCCACGCTTCTGGCTTCATTCAGAAGAAAATCATTCTCTGTTGTTAACTTTATTGATCATCTACCTGTATGTCAGAGTACTGAGTGTACTGCACACCCCGCTACTGAATGATGACAGACAGACCTGGCACAGACCAGGGATGGATACCTCTGGAGCCAAAGGTCTCCCTATACAAGAAGCATTTCTTCCCTTGGAACGCGTCACCCATATGAAAAGAAAAACGTTTATGCAAGAGCTATCTCAGATTCCTGAGGATAGAGAGCTGATGGCACAACTCCCCCATACTTACCTACTCCTGGGAGGGAAATCGTGATGAATGAGGTACTGCTATGCCAGCAAGCACAAACCAAACCAAGCCGTCACCATTTACTGTCTGTCTTATCCTCAGGGCCTCTAAGCTCTCTAGATCTCTTTCCCAAGTCCTGGAGTTTTCCTTCTCGTTAGATTTGGTGAAAATGCATGTGCCTCCAATTAAGTGATTTTTTGGTGCTTCTGCACAAGGATACACAATACACCTGACCAGTTTGAGAACCTGATGTGCTGAATAAAAATGGAGTTATTCAATACTCTAATAACATCATATGCGCTACAGAAAACGCCCATGCTTTGTTTCAGTGAAACCTTTTGCTTACTGAAGGGAGTTTCAGTGTTTTACGAGACTTCAGCATCTTTTCCCTTTCTGAAACCAAATCCTTCACTTAAAATACATTGCGTAATCTTCTGGCTAACAGTCCTTAGTAAATGCTGAGGTTAGTCAAAAGCATTAACCACACCAGGGTTTCTTGGGGACGTGACACCAACACACAGAAAGCTTTCTGCTGTGCTAAGTGCTGGAAGAGGAGCCTGCAGCCAGGCAGGTGCTCCGTCTCTGTGACAGTCTTTCACGTGCAGTTTGTTCAAGATCTAAACACTATTAAGAAAAACTCAAAAATGGATGAAAATGATCTTTCAATAGCTATCAGATAAACACCTTTCATTTATCCTTACTCTTGCACTTACAAGCCGCCACCGAGCTTCTCTATCAGATCACATTGATTAACACTTTAAACTCAGAAACTAGCAATTTCAGCATTACTGTATTTTCTCCATTTTTCTATAGCAAACTTTTTGTAATTATCCTCAACTACCTTAAATATGTCTGAAAAAACTGCCCAAATACAGGAAACAA